AAGTAATCACTGGAACTTCAAAACAGAACCAAATTTAAAATAAGAAAAATAAACATGCATTCAAAACATCATGCAAATTGACATCGAAAACTCAATCTAAAAAAATATATTAAACGACTTGAAACCAAAAAAGCTCTATGAAGAAATTATAAGAAAAATTTGATAATTAATGAGACTATAACATTAATTATCAAATAGGCTTACTCGAATAGCAAGATATATATGCAAAAAAAAGGGCTGTCTTTTAAGACTAATATGCATCTAAAATTTGCATTTTAAATCTGATAAAAAGCAAAGGTAGGGGTAAAAACTTCTGTACTCTCAGCAAGTTGACATTTTCCTCAATATCTTCCTTTTCGACTTCTAAACGTTGCATCCTTAGTAAATGTTCTTTCTCTTCTTTCTGCTTTCTTTCCTCTTCAGCACGTTTGCGAGCTTCAATAGATGCTTGTGTCACCTTAAAATTCTTTTTGCATTTAATTTATTCGTAGCAAAAGTGTTCATTGCCTGGATATGAGAATTTTTGTATGATGGTTTCTTATCCGAGAAAAGTAGTGAAACTATAGAAACTTCAGCATGTTCAAAAATCATACCTGTTTTACCTCATAAGAGTCTGACAGCACTAAACAATGAAATATTGGAAGTTTTAAAAATGGGTACAAAATGACTTCATACCGTACCCAAATTTAAACTATATATTTTACAATTTCAACTCATAACAACCTTAGATGGCTCCACTCTTTGCGCGAGAGCGCTTGCAATTCGAGATCATGCGCTAATCGATTCTCATGCTTCCTTTGCAAGGCTTTTTACGAGCTCTTGCCACCGCTGCTTTTGAATTTTCACCCGTAAATTTCTTCGGCATTTCTATACCCAATCATCAACACTTCATACCAGTTAATCTGTTATAAGTAAATTACGATTTTTAATACAAGCACACTTCATAAGGTAATGTAGATATAGACAGCGCACAAACGACGCTGTTTTAAAAAATATGAAAATATTACGTAAATGTAAATGTAAACTTTCTCATACCACATCCATAATTTGGATCCCTGCAAATCACAAACTACTTTCGGACTAAAACTAAGCTCGGATTCATGAATTAAAAAAATTGCTCTCAGTGTGAAAAATTAACGATTCGTTTTCAACTATTACTTTTCTTTGCAGTTAAATTATTCTCTAACGAATTTCTTTTGTGCATATTATATTTACACTATTTTTTCCCTCTTATTTATCACATTATTAAAGCATGAGAAAGCTTGATAAATAACCATTACCAACGAGATAGAAAATAGCGATAAACCGTAGTAATGGCTTGACTAAGACAAGATTATCACAATATTGAGGTACACAGTGCTGATAACTGCGATCATAACAGTCAGTTACTGAATATCCAAATTACAGGAGAAATTTCCCATTATATTCAAATAAATCAGTGAATTAAACTACATTAATTTATAACACAATTACTTAGTGTAAAACGACATAGTTTAAAAAAAATTTGAAAATATTACGTGACCACCAAGAAGTGAAAGAGTCTTAAACAATTTTAATAATTTGATTTCTTGTTCTCTAGTCATTATGCAATATCCGTGTCCTAATAACTAGAAAAGCGAAGTTGTGTTCCTTTCTATATAATGATAGATTAGCGCGTTCTTCGGTGAAAAGTGGAGCGGAAGGAAAACTAAGTTGGTAAAGGTTTTCACCGCTTTTTACTGCTGCTAAGATGTGTTGTATTC